GCTGTCGCGGGCACGGACTGGCGCGGGGCCGGGTACTGCCGCGCTGTGTGCGCGGCCAGTGACCAAGGCCGGCCCTTGCCGGACCTCCGGCGACTTTTTCCGGTAACATGCATGACATATAAACATAATATGATGAATGTGGTACAAAAATGCTAAGAAACACTAGTGGACCTCGGGTCCACATGCATGCTACTCGGTAAGGCCTAAATGGCACGCACGAGCACTTGACTTCCGAACCAACATTCATAACTTACAAATCTACTCAGGGCCGAATGTTTAACATGATAAATGATGGCTAAAATGGCTAGGAACATGGTTCATAACTTGCATGCATAAGGGTAAGCCTCGGGTGCCTAAATTAGCATATTTTCATGAATGATTTGACCAAGGTAATGAACTCCATTTACATTCAAACTTTTACACCATCAATGGTATAATATTTAAGGGTGATTTAACTAACAATCTCGACTTTAACATGCTAGCTACTAAAATTTTATTTTTAAGGCTATTTAATCATTAAATTTGAAACATGCTTATAAACTCATGCATGGCTCGGTTTTACCTCATGATAAATCATATAATTTCATAAATTGACTAAATAACTCAAGAAGCAAGAGCTTACCTCGGCTGGAAATGAAGAACTCGAGTTAGGGCTCAAACTAGGCTTAAGCTCGGATTTTGGGGCTTAGGTCGACTTGGAGTGTGATTTGGTCGAGCTTAGGAACTCCACAAGACTTATAAAATTCTAAGGAACACTTAGAAATGATAAGCCCTGGAAGAATTCGCTTAGAACTCGAGATGGCTGCTCCTCCTCCTCTCTTGGCCGTGGCTCGCGCGCAGTGGTGCAAGGTAAGGGCTCTTGGTTCTTTTCTCTTGTTTTCTCTCAAAATGCTCAAGCTCTCAAGTCTCAAAATGTCTAAGAATCTCTAAAATCTGAATAAGTGAGGCTTTTATAGGGTGTAGGGGCGGATTTAACAATGAAGGCTCATGGGGGACAAGGGTTGAGTGGGATTCTTCACTCCATATTCATGGGGACTTGGGGGCTGACTTGGGCACGTTTTGCATGGCTCATTTGAGTAGAAAAACAGAGCATGGGGGCTGAGGGAGCAGGTCTGGTTGGCTGGTCAAGGCATGGGGAACAAAAGACTCCACTATGAATAAAATAATACTATGCCCATACTCCCCACTTAGCTTAATCATAGGTTGACTTCCCTTAATCTTCATTAGGGCCATCTTAGCTCAAATTAATCCTTATTAAGTCCCCTAAACACGCAAGTCTTGGGTCATGAAAGAATTGGGCCGGAATTTTAAGAAATGGGCTCAAAATATTGGACTGCCACGCTGCCAGTGCTGGGCCTGGGCGCTGGCCCTGGGCGCGGCCTGCTGGGCTGGCACGAGAGGGCCTGGGCATGGGTCTGCTGGGCTGCACGCGGGAAATGACTTGGGGTGAAAGAAATGCTGGTCTTTAGGTGGATTTTGGACTTAGAAAAATTCCCAAACATTGGTTAAGGCTTGGACCAAGTCTTGGACAAGGCTAGGGTGAACCTAGGGAGTGGGCGCGCAAGGCCATGCTCACGGTCCTCGGGCGCGGGGCTCGGTATATGGCTAAGGCTCGAGAATAAAATGTCCAAGGCTCAACTTTGATATCCCCATACACTTAGAAATTATTCTAAGTATAAAAATATCAATACTTGGC